CCCTCCCCCCCCCCCCCCCCTGAGCTACCCTGAGCGAACCAAAATTACGTTAATATTAGTCGGTTAATATTAATATTGAGACCAATGGTTGAGGCTATTCCTGGGGCAGAGCCAGTATAACTTCAGGGGGCAAATCCGATTCCTGGATTGGGGGGGGGGGGGAGGACAATTGCCCACTCAGTTAAAATGTTAATAAGGCTGTGATGTTTAGTATACATGTATTGAGGTTGAGCCGTGTGATGGCTTATTAGGGTCGAGCTATTTGAATAATGACTTAAGTATCCAGAGCGTCAGCTGTATTTGTATAGGAATGCTGTGTGTACATTCCAGTCAAATGACTTCTCCAACATCCGTTGTTTGCGTGGTCGTTATTAACATTTACTGACATCCTGCGTCAATCACTTGAAATTGTTCAGTCATCCAGCGATTTCCGTTCCCTGATTGAAAGAATGTTGTGTCTTCATGAGCGATGTGGTTCCATTAAAATACAGGCACCTGATGCTCCCTCTGTATTTGTTGGAGAAATGATGACCCCTGTCCGTGGGTCCCTGACCCTGCTAGAAATTCTTGTCATGACGGGGACGTGAGTAAAGATTAAAAGAAAGATTTTGAATTATAAGTTCTCTTTGACAAAGACTTAAAACACTTCGGACTTTTCTGCCCACACTCCCGTAACACCCTTTACCAACGCTAGCACGCTGCGCACATCCTGCACACCCCCAATCCATCCCTGAGTTAGGTCGGCCCTGATTTGTGAGTGTAAATTAGGAAATGATCTCAGTTGTGAGCTTTGAGTGCCATTCTACCGTACTGTACAAATGAATAAATGTATAAGTTGTAATTGTGTTTAGGAGAGTGCCCCAATCATCGTGACCACAGAGGCGGCTGACGAAGCTGTTCTACACGATGCTAACAGCTTTCGTGATTCATCTATCACTGATTTTGAAGAAGATCTCGATGTCTCGTTCTCAAAATATGGAACAGGACTAGGGAACAGGATGTTGAAAGATCAGTTGAGCATGGTATGTGGTAGCACCATTGCTTCTCTTATCCAGCATAAATAAAATTAGTTTAGTTTAGGTTTCCTCCTGTAATAACACTGGATCAATAGGAGATGACCCTTACTGGACCTCTAGGAAGAACAGTTTAGAGCTGATAGAGCTATCCAGCATAAATAAAGTTAGTTTAGTTTAGGTTTCCTCCTGTAATAACACTGGATCAATAGGAGATGACCCTTACTGGACCTTTAGGAAGAACAGTTTAGAATTGATGGAACTATGCAGTATAAATAAAGTTAGTTTAGTTTAGGTTTCCTCCTGTAGTAACACTGGATCAATAAGAGATGATCCTTACTGGACCTCTAAGAAGAACAGTTTAGTAGAACTGATAGAGCTATCCAGTATAAATAAAGTTAGTTTAGTTTAGGTTTCCTCATCAAAGGGATGAGTTGTTGAAGGAAGGAACGCCTCCCAGTAACTTGGCAAACCAAGATTTGCGGCCTTGATGTTTTGCCAGGTCATTCATAGCTATCAACAGACACTTCAGTGTATAGACAACAGGAAAGTAATGAAAATATGCAGTCCAATATCCACAAACGTCGGTTTGATTAGGATACAACTACCTGAAAAATACAAGAAGAACTTTGACGTTTCGAGTGAAGCCCCTTCGTGGGGGAGTTAGTCGCTGGCTACTAAAGCCCTGGGCAAACTTGGAAACATTGTTTCCTACCAATGTTTCGCCATGTTTCCCAGAGTGGGCAAACACTAGGAAACATTAGTGAGAAACATAGGGAAACTTCAAATGTTTCTGAATTTGCTAGGAAACATTTTTGCTTCTCGGGAAGCAAAATTTGTTTCTGCAACAATGTTTCCACGGGTGGGCAAACAGGGAAACATTTGAGGAAACATCGAGAATCACAAATGTTTCCACAACAATGTTTCCTAGTTTGCCCAGGGCTTAACTTCTTGGCCTGGTTGTTCAAAAGCTGGTTCACTTGACCCTGGGTGAACGTGAAATTCAAAGCCTACTGCCCAGCAGCTTGTTTATAAACTTGAAAATATTTTTTCCAGAAATCTTTCTGGATGATAAGAAGTTTAATTTTGTAAAGTTTTGAAATAAACGGACGTACAGGACATAAAGGAAAGCAATGGGTTCA